GAAATGAATAAAACTAAAAAAAAAAGACCGTACCTGTGGACGAAAAGGGGCCACATGCTGACCTGACAAGCTCAGGAGAGGCCTGCATGGCAGTTTTGCAGACCTAAAGTAACCACAAAGGATGGCCTGAAATTAAACCTTAACTAAAAGCAGTTATGGTGGGCAGTTACATCCTAAGCCGATATCTTCACTGATAAGGTCAGCCTTTACCGTAACTGAGCCTGTCTTTTTGCATCTATGATAACTGTCCTTGGGATGTCTGGGTAACTTGTGACTTCCCTTTTTATGGAGCCCCTGGGGCACAACCAGGTGTGCTGGGCCCAGGACAGATGCAGCAGATTCTTTCATTTGTCATGTTAATTGTTCCTGCACCCACCTAAGTATGTGTCCAACATTTTACTTTTTATCCTATCACAGAGGTTTCCCCGCTTCGCTTAATCCCACCTCCTTAAATCTGTCACCAATGAATTTCATGTATAAATACGGATGTAACCCTGCCATTCTCCGGAGCACTATCTCAATTCGTTGAGGTTCTGCTTCCCGGCATATGTCGACAGTTTGGCTCAAATAAACTCACAAAAATTCTCATGCTTTTGTTCCGGCCCTCCGGTCCAGTTTAAGAACCCATTGTGGCCCTCGAGTCAAAAAGTTTGCCCACCCCTGTGCTAACCTGACAAGCTCAGGGAAGGCCTGCATGGCAGTGTTGCAAACTTAAAAAGACTTAAAGTAACCACAAAGGATGGTCTGAAATTAAAGCTTTAACTAAAAGCAGTTACAGTGGGTAGCCATGTCCTAGGCCGGTATTTTCCTGACAAGGTCAATTTTTACCTTAACTGAGCCTATTATCTTTTTGCATCTAAGATAACATACCGATGAAATGTAACTTCCCTTTTTCCTCGACCTCTGGGCCACAACCAAATGCCCCGGGCGCCAGGACAGGAGACCATAAATTCCTTCATTGTTAATGTTATCATGTTAATTGTAGACTGCTAATTATCCTGCACCCACCTAAGTATGTGTCTATCATTTTACTTTTTATCCAATCCCAGAGGTTTCCCCGCTGTGCTTTCTCCCGCCTCTCTAATTTATCACCAGTGGATTTCATGGAACCCACCTACATCCCCTCCTTTAATTGCAATGTATAAAAATAGATTTAAAAAACTGCCATTCTCTGAAGCATTATCCCAGTCCCTTGAGATATTGCTTCCCAGAAACTGTCGACAGTTTGGCTCAAATAAACTCACAAAAATTCTTTACAGGTTTGAATGTTTTTACATTAACAACTCCTTTGTAATAGAAAAATGTATTATGTGTATTAATGTTTTGTTAGTGTTTTTACTCTGAGAATAAACATGTGATTTAACTACATTTGCAGATCAAAATATTTAACATCTCCAAGTAGGAAAATGAGATTTAAAAAAAATTTTCAATGTAGAGAAGTCAGTTTTGCCAAATAAGATACACCTGTAAATGCAACAAAAGTGAAAACTAGCAAAATTCAAAAGCAAGGAATCCTTAGTCTCTCTGATACTCAACTGCTAAATATGACAGGATGAATGGATACCCAAGACAAACACTTCTATGACAGTAGCAAGAGAAAAAAGATGCACGGCAAATCAATATATTGGCCCAAACAGAATGGTAGCTAATTGAGAAAGCAAATAACTGGCCACAAGCAACTTCTACAATAACCTAAGAATACAGATATATTCACTAGGGTGTTGAAAATGTTTACTGCCATTGTAATAAATGGTTATTCCTCTGTGGGGGAACTAAATCTAGGCTCCATTCCCAGGATTTAGGAACAAGGAGAGGAAACTCGCTGAACCTCTTCCTCCCCACTCCCAACAGAAGCACCATGCACAGCAGCCAAGGACAGACAAACCAGTTTCTAAAGATAAAAATCCTTCCAGTGAAAGATAGTCATCAAACTACACGCAAAAAAAGGACACTATTATTAGTCACATTTCTAAATGCTACTTCAGATTAGTGATAAGAAAAAGACTTTGTAATTCAAACATTTTAAAGGACTTGAAATACTTCAAACTAAATTGATATCTAGTAAAAAAAGAAAAAGTAACCCTAAACTATCAGATAAGACTTTTTACTCCTACTTTTACTAAAACCCCACACAGCACGAGCACAGTACCTGGTTTTCACTGACTTCAATCATCATCTATGAGCAAGCCTCAGTTGTGCTAATGTTGATACTTTCCTAGCTGTCATCTCCTTTGTCATTCTCTTCTAGATATTAAGGAAGCCATTCTCAAAACAAAAACCTTAAGTTGATCTTTAGAATGGAAAAGTATCTGCATACAACCTTCCGTTTCCTCACTTCCCAGTGGCCTCGAAAGTGAAGTTTTAATTGTCATTTAAGATGCGGCCTGAATGTTCACCACCGGAAGAGAAAGAAGCTCCACAATGTTCCTCTCTTCATGACAACCTTAGTGTAAGGCAGAGCAGAATGGGCAGAGCTGGACAGAAACTTCCACTTCTACAGCACACGCGGGCATAAATGTTTCAACCCTTCAGTCCACCGTCATTCCTATCGCAGGAGAAAAGCACTGAGAGAAGTTAGGGCACAGAGGAGAGGAGAAGCAGTAACCATTTCACTCCTTCGGGCTGGAGTTTCATTTCAGACAGTAACTTACAGTTAGGGATACAGAGAGAAAGCAAGGCACACGGGAAGGGGTAGCAGGAGGCTGAACACCGAGGAGGTTTGGGATCTCAATAAAGAGATGGTTCTGTAGCTGTTGGAGAACTCAGCTCTGCAAACTACTTTCTTGGGAAAGAGAAAAACTCCTCCCTAACTTGCTGGAACCTGACCAAAATCCCAATCACAGCAGCCCCTGGGACTAACTTGGGAAGGCAGGGCTGCACGCATGGTCGCCACACGCACAGACAAAATCCATCGCGGCTCGAGCGAGTCTGACAAAATATTAACCGCGGAGAGGAAAGCTGCTTTTACTCTCGAGTTCAATGTATTCACATGAGAGAGTAAGAGAAACCTCTCCGAGATTATTACCGGCTAGTTCAGTTTTGAAGTAACAGTGGGGTCACTTTTGAGAAGAAGAACATGGGGGGGATGTTTACTCCTGGTCAGATCCACACGTGTCAGCGCCCACTCAGAGCCATGACAAACGCACCGCACCAGCACCCCAACCCGGCTAGGGGCAGGCCCGCTGCCACCAGGAGAGCTCTCCGGAGGTTCTTAAAAGCAAAACTGGCCTGTCAGCACCCTTCAAGGGTGGTTTTGCTCTGGAAACATCGCCGCCTTCGTTTGGAAAAAAAAGCAAAACCATACCCTTCAAGCCCGCAGCGGTTCTCAACCTGTGGGTCGCGACCCCTTTGGCGGTCGAACGACTCTTTCACAGGGGTCGCCTAGGACCATCCTGCATATCAGATATTTACCTGACGATTCCTAACAGTAGCAACATTACCGTTATGAAGTAGCAACGAAAATAATTTTACGGTTGGGCCACCACAGGAGGAACTGTATTTAAAGGGCCAGGAGGTTGAGAACCACAGCTTCAAGGGATCCTAAACGTGTCACCTCATGGCAGGGGGTAGGCCCCCGCAGCAAGCGGCGCCTGACACGCCACGGGCGGCCTCCTTTTCCCCGGGTGGAAACGGGAGAGGCAGAGCTGCACCGCCGGGCCGGAGCCGCGGGGAGGGAGAGTTCCGTGCCGGCATGACAAACTCCACGGCACTGAATTCTTCTCCCTAGTAGGGCACGGAGCGTGTGGAGGATGGCCAGGGCGCGTGGGAAGGGAGATGACCTATTTTCAACCACTGTTTTTATTAACTGGAAAGTGAGGGAGAGACGCGGGGGGTCTGGTCCTCGGGCGCCGGGCCGGGCGGCCCCTGAAGTCGGGAGAGAGAGGAACAGAAAAGCCGCCCAGCCTTCACCCCAGCAGCCGGGGGACGACGGGAAGGAAGGAAGCGAGAGCGAGAGCCGGACGCACGCAGAG